GTATACTCGTTTGAGATTTCTTTGTGGATTGACTGATATTTTCGGTAGAAGGTCAACTATAGGCACTGGGGTCCACATATTTAGAACTTAGGGGCTTGAACAGTGTTGGTTCGATTAAGACAATTTGAGTTGCCACCCGATTTCAACTATTTTCACACTGTGGGTAGAAGTGCTAAAAACATTTTCCAGTGAATTTTGTTATTATAGCTTTAGCGGTTTAGGAGATATGCACATTAAACCTATTAGGAGCGGGACCACGCCCACTTTCAAAAAAAAATTTTAACTGCAGATATCCCTCCCTAATGTGATCCTGTGTACCAAATAACAGTCTTGTATCTTATTGCGGAGCTTAGTTATGGCAATTTATTTGTTTTCGATTAATGGCGTTTTGTGGGCGTGGCAGTGGTCCGATTACGGTACCAAGAAACATGTCTACCAAGTTTCATAAATATCTCAATTTTTACTCAAGTTGGAGCTTGCACGGACGGACGGACGGACAGACAGTCACCCGGATTTCAACTCGTCTCTTCAGTCTGATCATTTATACATATATAACCCTATATATTACTCTATTAGTTTTAGGTGATACAAACAACCGTTAGGTGGACGAAACTGTTATACTCTATAGCAACAGGTTGCGAGAGTATAAAAAGAAACAGGGTTGTATGATCAAGTCGCACACACTCATTCATATCGCTAGTCAATAGGTAAGTGCATAATGTTGACGCAAAGGAGCACTTAAATAAGGCCCGGGAGTTTTGGACGAAAGTTGTTTTTCCGATGAGAGCATGTTTTGCGCTTTTGGAATCAAGGGGCGTATCGATAAGGAAATCTTGATGCATACTGTGAAGAACGGTGATGAAGAAGCAATGATATGGGGGTGCATAGCTAGTAATTGTGTGGGCCAAATGGAATTTATAGAGTCCACCATGGTTAACGATACATATCTTAACATCTTTAAAATAAATTTGAAGCAAAGAGCGGTAGAATTTGGTCTTGGAAGAGACTCTTATTTTCTACAGGATAACGACCCGAAGCATACAGCAGACATAGTTAGGCTTTAGTTACTCTACAACGTTCCCAAGCAGCTTCAAATACCATAAGAATCACCAGATTTTTATGCTAAATAGCGCCTATGAGATTTACTGGTACGTAAAATCCGCCAACGCACAATTACCTCGAAGGATATGCTTAAAGATGTGCTGCGCGAGGAATGGGCTCACATCCCTTCGACAGAAACCGCTAAACTTGTCTATTCCATGCCAAAAACGTTAACGGAAGCTTTGAAACGTTGGGGATATCCGACTTGCTATAAAATTTTAAGAAGAATTCGTAAGAAGAATAACTTTATTCGGCTTATGTACCTTGTACGCAGACTTTCTAATGGATTTTCTTTTCGTCCGTATGTTTTGTTTTGTTTATATGTTAATGTCGGCTATTTAATCTCTTTTATTTTTATAAAACTAATAATTGAATATCCTTTAATGAATTTCAAATAAATTGGCTTTTATAAAACTTTGTTGGTACCTTGTACGCAGTCTTTTTCTGCCCAGTGTAGGTATATATATGTACTGTAGGTATATATCTGTACATAGATATATTTATATATATAAGAATATAAGATTTGAGCTTTTGAATAGCCTAACAAAGGAGGAAGAGCCTAAGTTCGGGTGTAACCAAACATTTTATGGTATACTCTCGCAATTTTGAAGGATCATAGCAGGAGAAATACTAAGTGGCAAATTTTATCCAATTTTGATACAATCAAACAAGTGGAAATTCATTAATATATCACAAAGGGGAGCCGATATTTCCGCAAAAAGGTCAGCCATAGGCACTGAGATCCACATTCTAAATATCAGTGGTCTTGAAAATGATGGCCCTATTTTGACTTAATTTTGGATGTGGAATGGCATGATTTGAAGTCACTATTTGTGCACAGTTTTGTTCTTGGTTGGTTCTTGATTTATAAACTCTAAACGGAAAAATTCAGCTAAAATATAAAATAAGAACTGGGCGTGGTTGTAGTTCGATTTCAGCAATTTTCATAATGTGAAATAACCATGTCATGATTATATGATGCGCCAAATATCGTTGAAATGAAATGATGGGAGTACTCCCTGAGATATATGATTTCACTTAAAAGTCGGCAATGTTAAATTTTTACCGATTTCTATGCAGCCCTTGCATACCATCTTTACTGCAAAATTTAATGCTTCCTGCCGATTTCTTTAGTATTTTTCAACATAAACGGTATGTAGGAGATGATCTTAGTTATTATCCGACTTCATCCATTTTCCCACAGTATTAGGTGAGCTAAGAAGACTTGTTCTCAGTAAGTTTGGTTGATGTAGCATTGGTGGTTTGTAAGATATTTACATTAAACCTATTACATTATTATTATTATTTTCCATTACACTTTTTCGTTTAACGCCCTTTTGTGGGCGAAAGGATTGCCCGTCTTGCCAATCTGCAGTACCAACCTTTTTATCTTTTACCAATCAGTTTTAGATACTTTAGTTGTTACTTAAAAGCTATGGTTAGTACGTATCCGGAATTGAAATACTCTTGTCAACCTATGTATATCTAACTCGATTGGTGTTAGATGTCGCAAACAACCGTTAGGTGAACAAAACTATTATACTCTGTAGCAACATGTTGCGACAGTATAAAAATGTAGTCTACCTTTTAAGGATTAGTTCTTTTTATTTCAAATTGAATAAATATTTTTGTTAATTCCCGTTCGGTTTTTATCTAAGAGATGGCGTTATTGTCCATAGTACTAGTGTTACGTGTCGCATCATGTCATACTATACGGCGCTGAAAAAGTGTTTATTCGCGCTAAAAGTTTGTCTTTGACAGTTTTTCGATGATTGACTCAGTACGTTGTAAGCGCTCGTCAAAGATGGACACCAGCAAAGAGAGAATTTGCTATATTTTACAATTTTTCTTCGATCAAGGCGAAAAAGCAGCCAAAGCGGCTGAAAAAATAATTTAGTTTATGGGCCTGATACTGTAAACGAACGTGTAGCACAAAAGTGATTTGCTAGGTTCCGTTCCGGTAATTTCGATGTCGAAATAGTGGAAACAGACCGTCAGATGAGCACTTATTTAATTGCTGAGGAACTAAAGATAAGCCAGAAAACCATTTGGAACCATTTGTATAACCTTGGATTCAAAAAGAAGCTCGATGTTTGGGTGCCACACAAACTAACGCAAAAAAACATGATGGACCGATTTCCATCTGCGAATCGCTGCTGAATCGCAACAAAATTGACCCGTTTCTGAAGCGAATTGTGACTGGCGATGAAAAATGGGTCACTTACGACAATATCGAGCGCAAACGGTCGTGCTCGGGGAAGCGGCCCCGACGGTGGCCAAGACCGGATTGACGGCCAGAAAGGTTTTGCTGTGTGTTTAGTGGGATTGGCAAGGAATCACCTACTACGAGCTGCTCCCTTATAGCCAAACGCTCAATTCGGCCCTCTACTGCCAACAAACTGGACCGCTTGAAGGCAGCACTCATCCAGAAGAGGCCATCTTTGATCAACAGAGGCCGAATTGTGTTCCATCAGGACAACGCCAGGCCACACACGTCTTTGGTGTCGCGCCAGAAGCTCCGGGAGCTCGGATGGGAGGTCCTAATGCACCCACCTTATAGTCCGGACGTGGCACCAAGTGATAACCATCTTTTCCTGTCCATGGCGAACGCGCTTAGTGGTGAGAATGGTGAATGGCCTGTGAAAATTAGCTCTCCGAGTTTTTGCGAATAGGGACGCAGTCTTTTACGAGAGGGGTATAATGAAGTTGGCATCTCGTTGGCAACAAGTTTACGAACAAAACGGCGCATATTTGACTTAAATCGGACAAATGTACACAAAGTTATCAGCTTTTGGAAAATCAATAAAAAAAACCGAACGAACTTCTTACTTTACCTAATATTATGACTTATTATTACGAAAGACTAATATATACATAAATTGTATGCATTAATTTTACTTTTTGCCATAATTTTTTTTTTTATAAAATGAACATATTAAATAACTATCGATAAATTTCTCTTTTTTTTATAAGTTATTTAGTTCTAAATTTAATAAATAAATTAAAAATAAGTTTAAACAATAAAAAAATAGGAATTTAAATTTTACAATAAATAAAAATAGTTTACCAGTTTTATTTGCAACACTACTCTTTCTAGAGAATATTTTATTATTTCAGTTAAATAACTAAAAAAAAACTTAATGTCGCCTTTTAATTTATTGCTGTGTTATAATTATTTTTACTGAGAAATACATACATATGTATTTATAAAATTTCGGTAGTATGGCAAATAAATAATATATTATTGTCCGCATAGTTTTATTTAGGAGCAATAATTCAAACAGCTGATCAATGGATTACTCATACCTAATCTACTAACATCGCATATCTTTCCCACGGAACCACCTGATTAATTATTACTTTGTGCGAGTGATAAGACATTTAAGTCTCCTCTATAATCTGTTCTATATGTCTCAGTTTTGTTATGATTGAGGCTGCGCTCCGCTGACAGCTTTTCAGTTCTTGGTGGACTGACACATTTGTGTCGTCAAATTTTCCACCTTAGTGACTTATAGCTGCTATAATAGGCGAACGACTCACCTGGCAACATATGTTACATATGCCCGCTAAATCCATATCAGTTGATTATATTTAATAGCAACAAGCTGCATACATATATTAGACTTTTATAAACAAAAAAAAAATAACATTCAAAAATTTCATCAATCTTGCATTGGCATCACGCACGTAGTTTTAGAACAACCCTCGCTGGGGATATGCTGAACTTTGCGCTGACTTGGTTTTTGTTACAGTGCACCCACTGTCGATCTTGACAGCGAACTTAGCAGCAGAAATGCAACAACTATGCCTAGATTTTGTTACAGTGTACATACGAACATATGTACATATATAATCGTTTTGGTGCATATTGCACTTATTTCCCTACTCTCCGACCGTAAGTGGTGTCAAATGAAGAATGGGTTTTGAACTACTCAAGTGCGTGGTCGTGCTGGCAGCTGCGATTTTATTGCCACGCAAAGCTGCATTCATTGATCGGGGTTATTGCCATTGATGTGTTTGTTGCTATTGCGGTGTTATATTTTGGTCGAAGACAGAGTAATAGTTTGTTGATAAAATTGCCGGTCGACAACATCTACTAACACTTAAAATTGTACAAAGGTATGTATGTGAGTGAATAGTGAAAAGTCTGTGGGTTGACGCCAACATCAGTGGGAAAGTGTTTTGGTTTTTGTTTCATTTGCTGTCTCTATGTAATAACACAATGCTTGTCAGTGTATTCTCGCCGTGCGTTTTCTTAACGGCGCTTGTTGTTCATAGACTTCTCTCCGCAATTTGCTTGGCGCTCGGGTTCATTTATTCAGTCACTCAACGAAAGTACAAAATCATACATACTTAGGTATATGCGTACATGCAAAGTAGTGTCGATGACGCTTAGAAAGCCGTAAATGCAAAAGCGAACGCGGACGCAAACGTTTTCCGACATTGCCTAACAAGCGTCGCGCTGCCCTCGAAGCGCACACACAAACCGCGGACTGTGATGAGAAAATATCGCACGGGCGTGGGGAGACCAATTTCGACGACGAGCTTGTTGGTATTAGTACGCTTCTACTTGTGAGCGGCAGCGTTTGGTGGTTTTGGTTGCGGCTAACGACTGACAACTGAGGGCAGTGCTAGCGTTCCTAGATAAGCGCGCACATCGCTTATATCGCATCGCATCGCATCTAGCGCGAATTTGTAGTTGTAACGTGCTGTGACTGCTTTAATTTGCACCATACGTTACGGTTTGTGAGTGAATATTCAAAATATGCAATGATTATAGTTAAATTGAGCACTTATTTGTATAGATTTAACAATAAAAATTTCCTTATGTAAAAATATCGCTAATCTAGAAGCTCGTGTGTGCGCGTTTTGCCGCCTAAATGTAATGATACAAAAAAAAATTAATACATTTTAAAGTTTCAAGTTCAAGAATTAATTAAAAATTCGAAAATTAACTTGAACTAAGTTCAAAAATAATTTCTCCAACAAAAAAACTCGTTTGTGTATATGTATATACAAATAATTACGTAATTTGTAATGAAATCATCTGAAGTTGTTGACTAACATTGATGATAATGTGAAGATTAGAATAAAAGTGATTACAGATGAGCTGGAAACGCCGGACAGCTACATGCGTACATGCAAATACATACAAAAATATACAGTTATAATACAAACGTTTATACATACATCAGGTCATACATATGTATATACAAAAATTCCTTTAAAGTCTAGTTCAGTGCATAGCTTATTTTAGTAAAGAAAAATTATTTGTTATACATACATGTAATTCACATATACATACAATTATAATCTTAAGTTTCTCCTATCAATTTTAGGCGAATATTTCAATTAATTAAAACACGCTACAAACCGGCGCTCAACAGGTTGTCTATTCACCACTTTGTTTACCAATTTTTCTACTCTCATTTGATAAGCCAAATCAAACAATGTATTTGATAAGAATAACACAACTAATAACCCAGCCGTAGAATTTTCTAACTTCAAACATCAATCTCTAGTTATTATTGGCAACTTATTCATCTAAAGTACAATTTCAAGCAAAATGTGTTGCCACCTTAATATAATTTTTCTTAACAGTAGTAAACCTATCATGCTTAATTGATTTAAAAGAATATGTAATTTTTTATAAAAAAAAACTGTACAAAAATTAAAGTCCAAAAAGCATTTCGGCTGCGAAGTTTTTTTTTATTACTAAATAGACATTTTTAGCGTATTATTGTTAAATTAATTAATAATTTTTTAAAAAGTGAATTTTTTCAAATGTGCAAACAATTTCGCTTTCACTGCGCAAAAGGGGTAAGGTTAATGCACATCACTGATCCCACTTTTACTATTTTTGATCGAAGCACTTATACCGGCTGATGTTACAGCGAACGTTTCTTAATATTGCTATAAAGCATGATGAAAAATATTTAATATTAAATATATTTTAATACGTAATAAAATAAAATTGCTATACTTAGAGAAAAAAACTTTCTCTACAAAATAAAATAATGTTTTTCTAACTGGCAGCTGACAGGCTTAGTTATAAATAAACAGCGAACATTTATTCTTCGACCCAAAGCTTATAAACAATACGCTATATCACAATTTTAATAATAAAAAATTTATTTAAGTGTGGATGATTTTCTTTGATGAAATAGTTAAAATCTATTTCTAAAAACAATGTGCATTAATATAATATTCTTGTCATAGAACATTCTGTTAAATTTTCATGTGGAAATATTAAGAACTACGACAATAGCAGAAATTACTCTGAAGCGTCTCGGAAACAAATTGATTGAGGTGCCCCTCATACCTCAACGCTTTAAATTTTTTAAATTTGATGTGACATGTCATAAGACAGGTATAAATATACTCACAATTTCGTTAAATATGCTCCAATCGACTTGAAATTTAGACACAACATTCTTGATATTATGCAGAAAAAAAGAATTAAAAAAAACCATACTCTGAATTCTTTCATAATTTTGTTTGGCTGGATTGTGGTTTTTTAGCGTTGAGTTAAGATATTCATTTACATTTTCGCAGTTGCAATAACTTCGCTTCGTTTTCCTCTTTTAAATTGTATGCTCTATTATTTCACGGACAAACTAATTTACTTATTTACGTACAAACTAATATACTTTGTGTTGGCTTAATGGCAATTTAAAAATGGGTTTACAAATAAAGAATATAATTGTTACACTACAGTTACAATTGAATGTATATATTAATACATAGTTGTATTCGTTATATGTATCTATGTATATATAAAAATATATTTTAAAGCTTGAATTAAATTGAATTAATTGGCTATGAATGCGACGTCTAGTTTATGTACACACTTTGAAGAAGATCGCTGTAAAGCGACGTAAAATTAAGAATTTTAATGTTATTATTCTTTGGAAGCGTACTCCATAGAAAATGTAATTTTCTACATAAATCAAAATCAAAGTATACATTTTCATAATAATTTAAAATATTTTTAAATGTTGCAAGGGTCTATTGAACCAGACCTGATACATCATGCACTTACCCACAAGTATTCAATTATATATTCTTAAAAATTATTATTTCGGATCCCTCAAATTTTAAAAAATAACCAGATCATCCCACTACAATTTTTTTGACCACACCGTTATTTTTTTTATATTTTTTAAGCACATTGATCTTACGTAAAATTTTTTTATGTACAGTACTTTTAATTGAAAAATTCTTTCGGTTTTGTTTTCTGGCGTTTCGAACTGTCTTTTGTAGGATTAATCTTGACAACTTAAACAATCTCTTTAAGTTTTTCAGAAGTTGTATGCTATTCTAGACTAATAACAGTACAGGCGTATTCCATCCAAAAGATTATTTTACCAATTATTTCAGCTCTTTTACGTTATTACTCATATTACGTTGAAAGAAACGTATTGCTATTGCAGTAATAAATATAACTTTGACTTAGTAGTTTACATTAGGGTTGTTCTTACTCTAAATATAAAAAAAGTTTGTGTTTAATTGCTTACTTTAATGCGATGCTTGCATGATAACAAACCTGTGACAAAATTTGTATTAAAGTTAGCTCTATTGTTGCAAAGTATCAAAAGTCTTATTGATTGAAAGTATTAATCGAAATGGAAAATATGGTATATTTAGTAGGAATATCTTTCATTTTATTCGTATTTTAGAAATCAAATTAGTAGCCAAGCATTTTGTAAATATAACTACCAAAATTTTCAAGTTGCAAAGCATACATTTCTCCAAGAACTCATGGTATTTCGATGAAGATAGTTAGAGGAACTAAAATCTATTTCTATGATTGGATTTATACGAATTCTATATACTAGACAAGTAATAAAAATAGTTATGGAATAACGCATACAACTTGTTAACAAATGATATTGTTAGCTAAAAAGGTGTTTTCTTATTTAGGGACATCACTAATGGGTTTTTATGGGAATGTGTGTTAAAAACATTGTTCCAAACAATTTGCCCTCACTTATGTAATATATAATCCAAACAGCACATATCGGCCGTTGAACTTAAGCAAAGTATGCGAACCACATTACCAATAAATAAAAGTAGTGTTTAAATGCCTGACAAGAGTCTGCAATTCGTAAAGTAAATATTTTTTTGTTTTAAGAAATTATAAAGGTGCCACCACACATAGCAAGTAGAATGCTATCGACTTGGCTTGGGCAACCACACTTCTTCGGCTTTTAAAAAGTTGCTTGCACAAGCATTTTGTGAAAGTACTTTTCATTGTACTTTCGCCTATATTTCTTTTAATACACGTGATTTATAAGAAATTAAAATGAATTTGTAAAATTTGTTTTTAAATATAATTGGAATTAATGAGGATAATTGGCAACATAACACAAAATGTGGTTGGATTTGGTTGACTAAATATACGAAGAATTTTTAGCAATAAACGTCATAAATTTATTTACTTTTGGAAAGTTGACTAGAACTTTTTGATTTTTTATGCATTTTATGCAAAAAAGTATTGGTTGGGATTTCAAAAATTTAATAAACCTATAATTTCACATTTGGTTGAGGGTTTTCAAATGTTCCCAACGATGTGCTTCAAAATTCCATCAATAAAGGTTTAAATTATTAATAAAATAAGACCAAATACTTATCAGCAATATGCAACAGTTATGTTCACAACGTGAACGAAAAATTTTGAAAGCAGAATGAGTTCGAAAAGTGCTTTCCATTGCTGTGTTTGAAGCCACCTTAAACGCCACGGAGAAAGAAATATTCCACTTTTAAGTATTTTGTATCACTTTCACAACCAACCCCATAAAATTTGTTCGCTTAATATATATTTTTTTAAATTATTTGTCAATATACAATACTTAAATAAACAAGTAAATATATACGAATGTGTGCGCATTCGTTGCAACTATTGCTACATTTAGCTACAGAGTGCTAAAAATATGCCCACACATTCAAATGAACTGCATAACAAGAAAAAACGTTAATTGCGGCTGCACCGAAGCTATAATACCCTTCACAAGTGAATTTTTTAGAGTATAAAAGTGTATACAAAAAAGATTTTTATCTTAATTTTGATCGATCAGTTGAAATGACAGTCATTTGCTCGTATTTCCATACGAGTACTTGAATTTGATAGATTAGTTTGTATGGCAGCTAGGGTAGGGTGTCACAAATGTAGTTCGTGGAAAACCTAATATCCCCTGTTCAGGGTATAAAAACATACCTATGATATTATTTATATGTATATGTATATACCTAAGTATGTACATACATATGTTGCGAATCACTTGCATTTCCTTCTAGCATTGCCAGAAAATACGCAGTCGACGAGAGATTGACGTTACTCATCGAAAGTGAAAGAGCGCGGAGGGGCAGAAATTGTCTGAAAAGTCTACAATTGCATTTTCTAGTAATAGAAAGTGTAAAAATAGTGAAGTAATTACACTTGACTACATACGCACATATAACTCAGATATAAGTATAAATATGTTTGCAAAAGAATCATGAGGATATTTCAATAAGTGTGGGGACAAACACGCCGTTTGTTTAGTTGAAAATGTAGAAAACGAAGACATTTTTATAATTTCTCACAATCTTCGTTTTTAAGTTTTCTTAAAAATGCACTTCTGCTGATTATTTGTTAAGCGTGTCTATAGTAACGTATCTTCAATTACGATATCTCAGATAATCTGACCTTTTTGTTTTAACCATTTGACAATAACAAGAGTTCACTTAATCCTAGTTTTAAACTGTTACACTATGTGCATGCATATCTTTATGTATTTCACATAATAATGAATTTTTATTTCTTATAGAAATTACATCATATACTTAGATTACACAATTAATTTACTCTCCTCCCTTTTGAACTCTTTTGTTTTACTGTTACCATTATTAATTTTATTTCTTCTAACAGCAAACTGGTTTTAACGCGTCATTACTAATCTAAGCAATAAGCTTCTGATAATTATTTACATATATACTGATAAACCTATATTTACAGCAGTATCCACTTCATAACACATATTTATATCCGAAGTAAACAAATAGAGGGTCTTGTAAGTTTTAAGTCGACTTTGAACGGCTGGTGATTTCTATGAGAAGTGTTACACTATTAGAAAAAACGCCTTGTTTTTAATCAAACTTACCATTGTGGTCAACTTTATTAAATTTTCTCACTTATTTCATCTGCAGCTCACTGAAAAGTATGAAACATAAATATGTCTAGATAATTAGTTGGGTTATGGAAAAGCAATGTCAGCTATTTTCTGGCTATATTTGAACTCTGATATCTTGTCAACAAATTTACATTAACAAATTGTAACAAAGTTATCAATTTTAATTCAATACGACAAATACAAAACATTGATATTCTGCTGCTTTAGAACGGACATGCTTTTATAGTTGAGACAATAAATCATGGGCTACATAATACAAGTAGATCGCTGGCAGAAAAGTACTCGGTTTATTTTGTGATTTTTTTTTGTGTGTCTAATGTTTTTTATTTAAATCAAAAGTTAGTACTTATATTAATAAAAAACAAGAAAAAACGGTCGGTTACACCCAAGCTATAATATCCCTCACAAATAAAAAAGTTTTTCATGCGAGTACTTGGTTTTGATCGGTCCGCTTATATGGCAGCTATCTGCTATAGTGGTACGATCTAAACAATTTGCTTCGAGATTGTCCAAAATAATTCATGCCGAACTTTGTGAAGAAATATTGTCCAATAAAAAAGCTTTCCATACAAAAACTTGATTTTGATTGTTCAGTTTGTATGGCAGCTATCTGCTATAGTGGTCCGATATCGACGGTTCCGACAAATGAGTAGCTACTAATTCCCCTCAAAATTATAGGCCATTCAAGGCTAATATTAATAGAGAAAATATCAACAAAAAAGAGTTAAGTAAGTGATAAGAAGATTTTATTGCTATAGATTTAAAAAAAATCTCGAAATTTAATACTACATTTTTGCTTTCCATACATCATTACATACATATGTACGTACTATATATGTAGTATGTTTATAGAGTAAATAATATTTGGAGATGGACGCACGCAGTCAGCGCTGATGAAGTCGAAAAATATTTTCATTTGGCTGATCTGTAAACAATTTTATATTCGCTTAATGCGAGTTCAGTTTCTAATAGTTTCTTGTCTACTTCCTATATTTGCTAAAACTCGTACATATGTATATTCATATATATTTGTAAAAATCCACTTGAATATGTGACGTGGAACAATGCATACTGTGTGTAGTAAATTCGCTTTCGATCCTCCGCAAAATGGCATTGATCTGCGTATTCACATACAAAAATAAACATCTTTGGGAAATTCCTGAACAAATATTGAGTAGGTTGGCTATCGGATGTTGCAGAGGGCTATGAACACATTACTCACAGCTCTCACAAAATGTTTACATTGATGTGAAAGAAATATTACACTTTTCACTGCAGCCAAGTTACAATTTGCACTGTAAAAATAGGTGGGTTTTAAAATAAAATATTTGCGCTAAAATGCTTCAAATCTAGTTTATAAATCTTGATTCAGGCTTGCTTCAGTGGCGCAATTCCTCTCAATTTTGAGAATGAACTTTCTAAGATTATTTTCACTTTATAAATCTGAACCTACCAGGGAGGGAGTAGAATGTGTAATAATATAATAGCTGCCTTTAATTCGCCAAGCACGACTACCGAATCGAACAAACTATTGTTGTTACACAGAGTGGCAGCATTGGCGATCTTGCGCAAACATGTCTTCTCGCACATGCGCAATTGCTTTTTTGGTGAACTAATAACTTTTTTCAAGTCATAAGTTTTTAAAAATAATAAAAAATATTTATAATTGTTTATCGCTGTAATTTGCCATTTGTGCCATTCACAATATTAAAACTGGGCTGAAATGTGTAATACAAAACATGGCAGCATTTAATATAGCGGTTATACCACTTTACTGTCAGTACTGATCGAATAAAAGATATCATCACATTTTTTATCACAATTTCTCATAAAATTATATCATATTATATTATAACCACATCAGTGTATAAAGATCTAATACATAATGTACTATGTGGCGTATGAGTAACATTTTACCATTCACATTAAAAGTAATAAAGAATGGTATATAAGAATCTTCGAGACTTCCGAGTTTAACTTTAACAGCCCTTTAGAATTATAAAATGTTTCAATGGGTTTAATATTGCATTTCTCTCTTATACCTATTCGTATAACGTTGCTTTGTGGGAATAACGTTAGGAAATATTTATTTTATTTAAACCTGGCCATGAAGTAGTCAGTCAGATTATTACCTTTCTAGCCAGATATTTTGCTGCTCACTTTGCACTGAAATAAGTAAGAGATTTCAATTTCTCAATAATCGTGGTAATTAAGAACTAATTAATTCGTGTAGCCGGCAAAAATACGATTTTTTCAATCACTTCTAGAAAATAGTTAGTTTATTATATTTATCTTAGCTAATCGCAAATCTAGATTAGTTGTATCTTCATTAACTTTAGCCGAACTTTCTGGTTCATAACTTTTTCTTCAGAGGTCAGTTAGGTCTTGTATCACTTACAATTTTCAAACAGGTGGCAAGGCTATATTTTATGCAAGCCATTTAATAAGATTGTAAAATGCAATTAAATAAATATTTACCGCTTGTACTTTGTAGACTGCGAGCGTGAGGTTATTTTGGTGCGCTTTCGTTGCAGCCCTTTGACTTAAGTATCGTGTTAATACCTCAAAAATATGTTTTTAGTACTTGGAATCCGTGAATATACAGTTAGTTTTCGTTAACTCAAATTCCAAAGCATTCTTTTTTCACTAATTCTTCACATTAGGCACGTACATATACTTTATTCGTTTTTATACCCGGAATAGAGTATATTAAGTTTGCCATGAAGTTTGTAACACCCAGAAGGAAACGTCGGAGACCTTATTAAGATTATATGTATAGAACTAGTCTCTCTGTTTTAGAGATATTGATATGAAATTTTGCACACGTGCTTTGCTCACCAAGAAGCTGCATGGTTGGAACCGTCGATAGCGGACCACTATAGCGTATATGTATTAGTGGTCATACAAACTAACTGAGCAAAATCAAATTCTTGTAGGGAAACCTTTTTTATACAAACTGACTAATTTAAATGAAGAAAAGTTCATATTATACCCTTTTATGCTATAAGAAATGCACTCATGAAGGTTATTATAGCTTCGGCGCAACCGAAGTTAACATGTCTTTTTGTTTTGTTTAGTTTATTGGTCGAGAAAAATGGTTAATTTTTCTTTTTTTTTCTTTTTTTCTTTGTATTTATCTACTTATATAACATCTTATCTTATCCATATTATAAAAACTTAATCACACAGTAAATAAGTTCTGTTTAAGATTTTGATGCGGATTTCGATGTCTTAAAAATTTTGTTTATTTTTAGTTTTTTCGTTGCTTATTAAACTTGCCTTCTTATTGATTTCATCGAGAACACTTTATTTTGAAACTAATTCTAAATGTTTTGAATATTTATTAATGTTTAGCTAGATTAATTCATTGCAATTTGTTAAAATATGCAAAATTAAAATTAGAAATTGCGCTTTTGTGTCATAAAAATACTTAATGCGTTAAGTCAAGTAGAAGAGCTTACCTTCAAGGTATATATTCTTACATATGTATGTATATGTATTGTATATAAAAGTAATTCGTTATTCGTTAATAACTTGTTGAGGAAGTTTCATATATGTATTGTATGTACATACTATGTACTAAGTATGTACTTATGTACATTCACTTAATTAACACCGACATAAAACTCACTAAAGAAATTATGACTGTTAAATACGTAAAATTTTTTATAAATGTTTGTATGTGCTCGCCGAACAAATATCTTAAAAGCTGAACATATGTATGTATAAATATTTATTTTGTGTCAAAAAGCGAAAAAAGTCTGGTAAATAAGTATACACATATGTATGTATGTATGCATGTATTTGTCGGTTTGTTATTGTCGCGAATCGGATGAAGTTGAGCCGCAAAGCAATGAGTCAACGCGTCGTCGTTCACTTGTTCGCGAGATTACCCAACTACCGGCCGACCAAAACAATTTATCCAAGAGAGTGAGACAATATGGAAGGCACTACGACGCGGCTGCCAACAAAAAGTCTGTTGACAACAAAACCTTGATCTGCGTGGGCTAAAGTGTGGCGGACGCTGGGCAGCGGGATCAGCGCAGCACATTAGAAATTCAATCATACAAAATTGTAATTTCATTTAGTTAAGATCAACTGTAATCCAGGCACATATGTATGTATGTACGTGTGGTTTTGTGGCAGTATAAAAATAAAATTTATTAAAAACGTATAATTTAAGAGCGAAGACAAAGCATTAGTTGTTGCTGCTGTGCTGTCCGTTAGCACCGGCAGTAGCGCCGTTCGCTTGGCTGTTTGACCAACTGCTCGCTGCTTCCAATGTTGTCGCATCAGATTTAGATTCATGAGATTGCGTTTGCTATTCTAACTGCATATTGTTCCAAGTTGCTTGGCAGCTTGCCTGACTGAGTGTCTGTCACCGCTCCCATTTGCGTTGACTATATACATAATTCATATGCGTGCGTATGTATGCCATCGACAGCTGATTCGGTTGGTTGATTAAAATGTTTTCATTTATTAGCTGAAAATCAAATCGTATGAATTTCTCAATGTATTCTCAATTCTCACAAACAAATGTGTCTACATACATATACATACATTTGAACATCGAAAAGAACAAACCACCGAAATCTCGTGTGATCGAAGTGTAGTGAAGGTGACGCAAATACTCGTACCAGATGTCTTTGATCAACCGGCTGCCAACGTCCAACGGTTCAAAAAATCGGTCGCGCTCATGATTTGTTGCTGGATAATTACTACACCGAGAAGTCGGTGGTGTGCGCTTATTAAGTGACTTAGCGGGCTGTGACTTCCCTGTAACCCACATTTATCATTTGCAGAAAGCTTATAAACATTTTGAAATTAATATTTTTTTTTTGGTTATTTATGTGAAAGTGTAATTTTGGCTTAGATTGCTCAGTGGCTTATAACGGTGTGTTTTCGGTAGCAAACACCGAAACGAAAAAAACAAATTGAACGCCACAAAAAGTTTTTGAAAATATTTATATACTTGCTATGTGTGTATGACTTCAAAATCAAGCTAAGATGGATAGAACAATGTATGGAAAATTTGATCCCGGTGCACGGCAGCCTTACCGTACGATACGAGCGAAAGGAATACAACCAGGATGTAAGTAGCATGTGTGCGTTTTTAACGCTATTTCAAAGGCAAATCCTTTATAATATGAATTTCTTTGTTCTCTTTTTAAAATGTTTGCTTTCTTCGGAAGATTTTTTAATTGGCCTATAAAGAACGAAATCGAATACCTGATTATTTTTTCTTTTGAAAATTAGCGGCACTTTGTAATTAGTGTTGTCAAAAAACTTTTTAATCAGGAAAATTTTAATTAGGAGCTAAAAATAAATGAAAAACTAAACTATATTATACCCTCTACAATACGGTAAAAGAGCTTAAAATCAATCAATATCAAGCAGTAGTTTTGTAACGCCAAGCATGAGGTTTTAACGTCTTTTTTACCTTTCCTGTTATGTAAAATGGCAATAAGTAATCTTAAAATCGTTTTAACCATGTCCCATAGCTAGTTGTCGATTAATGTAATCGATGGTATATCGTTCTGTAAGTAGTTCATTTAATATCTTTATACAAACTTTCTTTAAATAGATTGCACAAGTCTGCAAAAAAAAATAATAATTGGGAGCTGTGTGTTACGTTATTCCTATTTTCTTCGGTGCGCTGAATCCGAAAATGACTTTCATTTTGTCATAGAACGTCACGTTTTCTGACAATGTGGGTATCTAGTATGTTAAACAAGTTATCATCTTAAAATAAAATATAAAAAATCTTTTATTTGAAATTTTCTAACAAAACTAATTTTATTATCAAAAATTCATTCATTAGAAACACATTTCTTTTTTCCAGTGTAGGAAGCATCTAGAAGGTCTCTCTGAAGCGTCCAACAGTAGTCTGCCATCGCTGAGTCTCTCCATCTTCTCTGGTATCTTTTTTCCATCACCTTGATATCTTGGTGAAATCGTTCACATTGCTCTTTTCTTAAAATTATCCCTTAATTTTCTGCATAGTAGTTGAGGTGGGAATGAAGACAATATACTTTTAGAGTCAATAGGTAACCTAAAGCTTGAAATGATTTTAACATTCCTTTGACGATTTTTTTGTGTAGTCAGGGTCTTTTTTATTACCTAAACATTTCTCTATGTTCTCTTTAAAGGCAAATCACCCTTCTCTTTGAGGAACCGTCATGGTTGTGATGAACTATGGATCAGCCATAAAGTCCAGTGATTTGCTCGTTCTCTATTATCCCACAGACACAAAAAAAAAATCAATTTGATAAAGCCCTATTGTTGTTCGAGCAACATGCCCAATATTTTGAAATCACCACAGACTTGTCAATTTTAATTTACAAAAAAACCAATTCCAAACTTTATGCTGATTTCCAAGTTGTAAGCCAAAATACAAGAAGTATACTATAATAAATGGTTGCTTCGATATTATATATTCGCCACAACAGAAACCGTCAGACGAGTTCACACACTTTCGCAGAGACGACATTGTACTACATAGTATGTTTCTTGAACCAATATCTATAAAACAGTGACAAGCTAACACGTAATCGTACCGCGCTGCTTTCAACACTATCGGAGCGTTTAGGTTACAATAAGTTTATGTTTGTTAATTTAGCTCACACGGGACGCTCTTTATTTAAAAAGTAATAATAGTTATGGTCTGTATATTTTTAAAAACAGTAGCCCAAATAAAAATGCACCTATGTATTTATTTATGACTTCAAGTTAGCTCAAAAAACCCCTGGATTTTAATAGAATATTGCGTTTGCAAAATAACCTGACGTCTTGGAAATTGTTGTGTATTTTTTTAGTTTTTATAACACTTAAATACATACTTACATATTAATCAGTTGAAAACATCCAGACAGCATTTTGGTTGCAGACTTGTGTTATTGGAATTTGACAAAAAAGACATTAACTAGTGAAAACGAAAAAAAAACATGCTCAGTAAAAGACGAATAAAGCCCAAAAATACCACAACAACAAATATTTTTTCAGATCTTACGACCAAAGCAATTTGGTTTGTTTTTTCACCAAGCTAGCAAAACAGTTAACTTATTGAAAATAATTATATAACTCTTCTAAACTGTTTAGCTGTTGAGACTTGGAAATTTTTTTCGAACATAGTAGAAATCCCCCTCATCAATTTTGAACTACCATATACATTAGCGTGTGGATCAAATAAAGCGAATTTTTTTTCGGTACTCTTGGTGCTCTGAAAAATAGGTACTTTAACGTAATCTACGGAAATCTCTCCCAGTATGAGCTCCTAATTGTAAGCGGAAGATTCTTCGCCTTACAGTTACGTCTACGTTTTTTTTTATTACCAGTCAGAAAAATTCATTTCTCGCCTCACGTAGACACGACTGTCGTGGGAACGGTGCATTTACCTGTATGCTTGTGTTGCTTTACAATCTTTTTTTCAATTTAAATCACATTATCGACTGAATAGAGACGCATTTGTTATGATGTTAAATTACGTTTTGTAAATCCTCTTAAAATACCTAGATTTTTATCATACACTCAATAATTGTGGCATATTGTGTTAAGTTAAGTTTATTGGTAACAATAAAATAGCTTCATATCTGAACTTACATTTCAAATCTGTCATCGACTATCTTCTTGCTTTGTATCTGATAACAAAACCGATAAAATTGGCTTCTGTGACACCCAAAACCGATACAATTTTTGTTTTGAACATTAAACCAATAATATCTGAATTTATGACACCCACTACATTGTTTTTATCGGTTTCAGTTCTGATTCTGACAACTATCAAATTCTACAACACCCCTGATAGCTACTGTATCCCTCACTTACTCCCACTTATTCTGTTAGCTAATAACTTAAAATTCTTACTCTGCTACGAGTACCAGACCTCCTAAATATATTTCTTGAAACTACTCCAAAAATGTAAACAAAAATTTATGTAGTTATTGTGTACGTTTTTGTCCACAAGACTCGACATTTCGGTATTTTAAAAACATTAATGATTTTTTTACCGTGTTTTTACCGTTTCCCCGTTTACAAATCTAACAGTTTCAGTGAATTTCAATGACTTCATGGTTTCGCTTGTATGGGAGCCGCGGCCATAAATACTTTTAGATGAGATATTGTTTTAAAATTTTCAACAAAAATCTATAAAAATATGGCAATATGTATATTATAAAAAAATGGGCACATCGTACGAGTATATCCTATTGCTCTTATAATAAGAGTCAGTAACGGATCAATCAATTTTTTTTAAAGTTTTTTATTTTAAGGGAAACTGGGCGAGGTTTTACTAATAATAATAATACAATACAAAAGTAAAAAACACACTTTCAAGAATATTCGCATTGATTGGTGGTACTAAATGTTTTACTATCACAGAAAATAAACCAAGAAAAACATAAAATATATTTATACATATATATATTCTAATTAGAAAACGAACAAAAGTTTTAGAAATAATTTTCATATAGTCTGAACAAGTATGTATATCTATAGTTGACTTAAGTAGCGTTGATTTGTGGTTATAAGCAAGTTTTCGTTGCCCAGCAATAAAGAGATCAGAGCTTGAAAGCAATCGGTTCATTAAAGCTGTATTTGAAGCGACGCGTGAAATTTTCCGTGTGTGTTGTAATTGAAAACTTTTTATATATTTTATCCTTCTCTGCCAGCTTCTTCAGAAAGCTCTCCAATCGGAACCAAAGAATGTTTTATAACTTCCAAACCATGAAGTAAAGTATTATGCACCGAGGGTGGGAATTAAAACCAGGGATTTTTGCCAACTCGCTGTTTTGTGGTTTCAAGAGCATAGTCTCCAAATTTTGCTGAATTAATCTTGTAACCCGAATATATGGCTTGCAACAAAGTTGATGCCCCGAGTATTAAATCTGTATCAATTCCCGTAATATCGGCAGATATATCAGGATTATTGAAAAACATAAAAGTACCGCAACAGGGCAAAGCACCATCTTTGCAAGGCAAATTTGTATTTGAATGAAAAAGATGATGTTAGTATATTGCAGATTAAAGGCATACAGGTAAATTTGGGTAGCTACACTTAACTTTTTTATTACCTTAAAATATAGACAAATACACTGAAAAAAATGAATGGGGAATCGGCAGCGAGCACAACTAAAACTTTATGTAAACATATTAAAGACGCACATAAATTGCATAAAATACAGGGTAAACTAAAGTATCGATTTAAGAATAACTACAACATAAATTAGTTTTTGTTAATTTTCTAACATAAAATAAATATGTTTAACTTCAAAATCCATTGAAAATAATTTAAATTCGTAAGCATAATAAATCGACTGTTCACATTGAACTTCGCTTTTGTTGTGAAATATTCACTCTGCGTGCACTTGCTCTTAAAAATTGATCACAACTTCAATGCTATTTTAAGAAATTCCCGTTAAGTTTCCATTAAAGGGTTTACCATTAAGAAGTTTGGACATTTCAGAGACAATTTGTCTACTTTTTCACTTTTTTTAACATGATTTTTTTATTTTTGGCCTATGGGCGAAACCACTAGGCGCCACTGTTTAGTTGCGCTCATATAATCAATACGTAATCAAAGCCGACTTTTAGGCGGAGTTTTGCGCCTTTGTGGTATGCAAAGTTTGTCTCCTGCATTCGGCTACTGTGTTTGTTGTATATTATGTTTGCTGCACGGGACAAGAATTGTGTATTGTAGGCTCTGTGTATAACGCTTTCAATTGCATGCATAACTTTCGGAAAACTTTAAATGAAACTCAAATATTACTGTTCTGATAAATATCAGCAAGCAAATTAACTCAAAAATATATATGCATAAATGTATGTATATAGTAGATTATTGAAGCAAAATTGATTTGTAGAATATGTGAACATATAATTCAATAAATATTTGTGATGTTCAAGTATCTTGTGAGGTGACGCAATTAGCATCGTTTAAGCCAATAAGATTTTTATTGATCACTTGACATTTGTCAATTCTAATAAAATCCAACCCACATGAATTTTGAGGAATATTTGAAGAAATTTTTTTTTTTTTGTATTTATGTGTGCACCTGTTATCGAATAATGGCGTTGTCGTTGTTATTGTTTCGAAGT